AGACCCCAGGGACGGAAACTCCAGAGCTGGTCGGTAACACCTGGCACCCGACTCCAGTGAAATGCGTGATCGGCACTGGTGAACACAAGCTTGCAGGTCTGGCAAGACCTACAAAGGGCAAAGGGCAAAGGAAGCACTGGGCTTTGATTTCAGTGACCAGTGGGAGCAAATGTCGTTTAACAAGCAGGTTGTGAGTACCCCTTCGGCAAGTCTTTGTCCTTGGGGGTTGGGGAAGAGGAGCAGATGCTGGCAGTGCTGGAGGCAAGTTGGCTGACGGAGGTGATGGCACAGAGGCACAAACAAGGGACCCTAACTGGGGAACATCTAGGAAGGCTTCCTGGAGGAGGTGGCACTTGAGCCGAGTCCATTACATCACCTGGTTCCTATCTGGGGAAGAGTTTTTATTTCAAATGAAGGGAAAGGGAAGAGATTTTTGGGAGAGTCAGACCCTGTGCCCAGTGATTTGGTTACATTTTTCTTTTACAAATTCCAGTGGTCTCCGTAAGCATACTGTGCTCCCTGGGTTCAAATCCTGGCTCTACTACTTATGAGCTGGGTGACTGTGGGCAAGTTATCTGTGCTTCAGTTTCTTCCCCTATAAAATATGTTTGATGACAAGGACCTCGATGAGCTGCTTGACAGCTAGATAAGGTCAGTCAAACACTCGAACAGTAGAGGAAAAGGAGGGGACATGTGTAGGAACTATTGTCATCATATCCACTCCCTTTACACTTGACCGTGGCTTTGGGCTCGTTAACTGACAAGGTGGCCTATAAGGATCCGTTGGCTTCATTCTTTCCCAGCCATCAAGTGCAGCAGAACCTCTTGCAGACGTCATGGGGTGGGCAAGACGGGCCCAGTGTCCACAGGGCCCGGAAGACAAAGGGAGTGGCCACTATGTATGTGGCACCTCTCGTCACGGCTTGAGGTTGTGTGATGCCTGTTGTCTTCCTTCTAGTTTGATCCTCACGCCAACCCCACGGGGCAACCGCTCTCTCCTCCATTTTAGAATTAAGGAAACTGGGGCTCAAGGAGGCAGAATACTTTGCCGAAGGTCACACGGGCGGCCGAGCTCCAGGCCCCGGTTCCACCCATCCTCCGCCCAGTAGGGGGGACAGGGGCCTGGAGGGGCAGAGCCTGGGCCGCATCCCCAGGCCAGAGCTTCCCAGCTGGGCCTGATTCCTGGACTCGGTGCCAGCCTGACACCCAGGTGCGTCTCACCAGGACTGGACGGCAGGGGGCTTACCCACGGGCAGCTTCGCAGTGATAAGCGCCCGCTGCAAGTTCACTCCTATTAGTGCAGAAGTGCCAGGTACAAACCAGACGCCCCAGAAGGGATGACACTGTCACTAGCCACCATCTCCTGGAAATGTCCTAACATCAGTCTGTCCATTTGCCTGACATGTGGGACTCAAGACAGTACTTTAGAAAATGACTCGCTGCTGGGTCCTCTGTCCCACTCACCCCGAGGCCTGTCAATCTGCCCTCGGCCCCTGCCCCTCACTAAGCTCTGCCTCAAGACGGTGCCAGCAGTCACACAAGCTGACTGGCTGGAGGCGGCTGCCGCCTCCCCCCGCCCCCCCCCCCCCGCCGCTGTGTGCATCTCCCTCCTCTCCTTGTCTCCCTCCCCTTCTCCTGGTCTCCCCTCAAATGTCACCTGCCAAAGGGGCCTTCCCTGAGGCCCCTTGGAAAGTGGCACCCACCCCCACACTCTCTGAACCTCCAGCCTGTCTTCCACTCTGCATTTCCACCTCGCAGCCTGCTGTATATTTTCCTCCTTCAGCATGTTTGCTGTCTGCCTCCCTCTACAGAACGCTTACCCCTAAGGGAAGGGCACTGAATTTTGTCTGTTTTGTTCATGGCTGTATTCCTGATGGTTCTCAGCAGTGGGTGACCATACCCTGCCAGGTGCCATTGGGAGACATTTCTGGTTGTCACAGTGGGAGGAGGTTGGTTAGGTTTGCAGACCTAACCAATCACCGCCGACAGTTTTAAACAGCCAGCTGACTAGCCCAGGCTCTGCAAATGCAGAGCACACCACCTATGGAGTACATTAACCACCACGCGGCCTCACTAAGGGGAAGGGAGAGCAGGGGGCTCTGTCACCTCCAGAAACCACACAGCCATAGGACTGGAAGCCTCTGGAAGCTTCTGTCTAACACCTGCGTCCCCAGCAGGCCGCCCAGCCCGCATTCCCACCAGGAATTCCCACTTGAGGTTCATAGCTCTCCCTGCTTGCTGCTGACCTCACTCCCCAGGGGCCTCCTTGGGCCCACAGTTGGGCCTTTCTCTGCAAAACCTGAGGCTGGGAGAGTGCCACCTTCTCTCTCTTCCTCTGCCCACCTTGTCTTGCCTCCCCCTCTCTTCTGCCTTTTTCCTCTCCCCTCACGGGTCCTGAAAGCTTTGAAACAAGTCACTAATGCTAACTTTTAGTAGCTGACATTATCAGGTACAAGGCCAGGGGCCAAAGGAATGAATCTCTAATGGTGGAATATTAGGCACCAGACAGCTAGTTTTTGGAGGACAGGATGATATTTGGTGGGCCAGGGTTTTCCTGGTGCTCCTGAAGTCATAGGTAGTTTGGCCCCACTTCTGCCAGGGAGACAGGCTGACCCCAAACCCAGGATGAAATAAGAGTAGGCTGGTGCCAGTGACCGCCTGGGACTGAGCTGGGGGGCTGAATGGGGTAGGCACAGAAGGACAGCGAGGGCTGGAAGCCCGAGGTGGAACGCCAACCCCCCAGGGTTGGGCTTGGTGGAGACTGGGGTCTGAGTTTTCCGTCCTCTTATCCTGGGAGGCCAAACTCAGTCTGTGAGCTGCCCCCAAATCTACACCACTCCTCCGGCTCTGAGGGTGGCGTGAGGGCTCCTGGGCACATGGTCACTTCCCTCAAGTTCAATGTCTAAGAGTCAGGTGGGGGACTAGAGGAGGCAGAGCAACCAGCCCTGGACACCTCCATGAGCTGACACGGACATCTGTGTCTTTGCTTTACACAAGGCCCGGACCCACGCTACAGATGAGGAAACTGAGTCTCTGGGTCAGGAGCCCAGCTGGGGCTGGAGCCCGTGTTTTCCACCCCGACATAAGGCCCACCTCCTCCAGCTGAGAGGGAATAGTCCGGCCAATCTCTTCCCTCTGCATCCTCCTCTCCCACCTCAGCCCCAAATCACTGAACCTCCACTCGCTACCTGAGAATGGCCGACTGTCACAAGCCTGCTGCCTGCTGCCTGCTGGCTGGGCTGTGGGTGCAGCCCTCCAGGACGCCAGGTCCTCACAAACTGGACCTGTGTGGACAGGGCAGCCTGGCTCCTCCCTGGCCTCGGGATAGCCACACCTCCCACCCATGAGAGGGAGGCACCCCAGGGACCTGGCCCTGACATGGGATGCCCCCAGCTACCTCCAGCTGCTGAGTTAGCAGAAAAGTGAGTCACAGCCAGGGCATCGCAGGCAGACTCAGGCAGGCAGGGCTGGCTGTGGTGTCAGCAGAAAGATGCGACCGACCAAGCTGCCTGTGGCCTGAGAGGTCCTGAAACCGGGACATCACATCCAGACCAAGAGCCCCTCGCTTGCCTCCGTCCGGTGCAATCAGAGAAAAAGGTGCAAAAGAGACTTAACAGAGAATCCGGGGACCTGGCCAGGGACCTGGCTCCTGTTCTGAGCCTCGCCAGTGCAGACAGGGCGCCCCTCACGGAGCTGGGTGTAGCCACGTGCTCTCATCTGCCCCCTAGAACCTGGCAGGCATGATGGTGCCCCATTTTGTGGTTGAAAGGCAGTCACCCACTTCGCACTGGATTATCAGTGACCGGATGAGAGCAGGTCTCAGGACAGGACCTTAATTCATCAACCCCCAGGGTTCACGGAGAAGATGAGTGAGCCTGAGGTGGCTGGGAGGGTGGTCCCATGTTGGGTTCTGGGGGATGGTGAGAAGCCAGGACCGTGACAGCCGGAGTGTCACATCCATTTGGGGATCCTGTCCTGAGACCTGTTCTCATCCGGTCACTGATAATCCAGTGCGAAGTGGGTGACTGCCTTTCAACCACAAAATGGGGCACCATCATGCCTGCCAGGTTCTAGGGGGCAGATGAGAGCACGTGGCTACACCCGGCTCCGTGAGGGGCGCCCTGTCAGCACTGGCCAGGCTCAGAACACGAGCCAGGTCCCTGGCCAGGTCCCCGGATTCTCTGTTAAGTCTCTTTCATTCCCAGGAAGTGGCAATTTGATCATCAGTCCTAGGAAGTGATCATTTGACTTCACTTACAAAATTGTACTAAACTGCATCTTCGTCAATGGCCAAATTAGGATGACAGCAAAGAGATAAACCAAGTAATTAAAACGAGGGGGCTTTGGGGTGGCTGGAGAGACTTGGGGGTGCATCTGCCTGTGGATTCCCCGTGGCCACCACCGCCTTCTCCCCCCGTGTCCGTCTCTGCTCCGTGGCGGCCGGCAGGGACACTTCCTCCGACCCGGCCAGACCAGGCGCCCTCCCCGTCCCGTGGGGCGCGCGGGAAGAGTCCTGCCTGGGGGCAGGCGGAGCGGCGGGGCGATGGGACAGCTGGGGAGGTGAGACCACCCGGCAGGCGGGCTGCGATAAGTGGGATGTGCGACGCGCGTGGACGGCCCGGCTCAACAGGTGGCGGTGGGCTTGCCCTCCGCATTATCCGGATAATTCCTACCGAGCATTCAAGTCCGCCCAGGGAGTCTGCCCTCAGCTTCGGAGCGGGCGCGAGACCTGCCCCGCGGCGCTGGCCACGGGGAGGCACCAGCCCCTCCCCGCACATCCCGGAGCGGGAGACGCACACGCGCTTCCCACCGCGCGGCCCCCGCCTTCGCCGCGCCCGGCCAGGAGCGCGCGCGGGGGGCAAGCCGGCCCCCGCCCCGGCTGCGTGGTAATGGGGTGCGGGGTGGTGAGCGCTGGCCGGGCGCCGTGGAAGCGGCTCCCGCGGGAGGTCGTACTCCACCGGCTGGGAGAGCTGGTGTCTCCGGGTTTTCCCGGCTCTTACCTCGCGGGAGCCTCAGCGACCCCGATTCTGGTGCAACGCTCCTCGCCGGCTTCGCCTGTCAGGCGGTAGGATGCGCGCGAGGTTCCCCTGGCGCCGGTCCCGTGTAGTCCCGCCGAGCCGCTCCGCGCCCGTGACCGTGGCCGCAGCCGCCGCTGCGGGAGCCGCGAACTCGGAGAGGGAGGGTGGGTCGGGGGCGGGGCAGGGGGCGGGGACTGGGACGGGGGCGGGGCCTCGCGCCTCCAGGCCTCCCGGCCTTTGCGCCTCCGCGTCGAGAGCTCCCGCGGGCCCTGGGATCCTGCGGGCGCTGGGATCCTCCCGGGAGCTGAGCCCCTCTGGGGGAAGCACCCTCATGGGGTTTGCAGGTGGAGAGTTAGAGGCTGGGCTAGGGAGGAGAGACCGCACAGGGCTTAGCGGAGACCCCCGAGCCCTGGGTCAGACTTAACCTTCAAATTCCAGCTGTTACTGCTACTACTGCTCAATGAGAATAACCACAATATGGGACCTAGTATTCATTGGTCACTTACTGTGCGCTAGGCACTGTTCAAGGCGCTTTGCGTGTATTAAGTCATTTGACCCCCACATCAACCCTATTTTGCAGACGGAAACACTGAGGCACGCACGGAGCAGTGACTGGAGGTGCCCCAGGACACATGGCTGGAAAACGCCTGAGCCAGGATTGCAGCTCAGGTCTCTTGTGGCTCAAGGTCCGTGCATCAAAGCCTCACTGTGCTTTCTGTCTGTGTGGTGTTAAGACAATTACTCCTTAAAGGCAGAAGGCCTGGCACATAGTAGGTGTTTAGTTATATTTGTTGAGTGAATGAATAAAGCTGTTAAGGGGGAAGCCACCAAAAAAAAAAAAAAAAAAAGAGAAGGAAAGAAAAGAAAGAAGAAAAAAACACTGGTGGAGCTGGGTTAGTGATACGAAGATGAAAAATGGGTATAGCAGCCAGGAGATGTCTCTTCTTCCAGGTCTGCATTTAATATTCCCAGCAAAGGTCAGAGACGCTGCCCTGAGATCATGTCTTGCAGGATCATCTCTGCTGGGCAGCAGCCGTGTCCTCAGACAACTGCAGAGTGTGTTTGGGGGCCAGAGGACTGCCGGAGAGTGGGTTTGAGGGCAGAGATGGCTGGGGCAGTGGGTACCCGCCCTCGTGGGCTGGTTGAGGAATGTTAGAATGTGCACCTGCTCCCCAGGTCCTCTTTGATCCGTCTGATGCTGCTCATGTTGCAATGTCCAGGGTGAAGCAACAGACTCCTTACCTGCAGAAGGCACCCTTTAAAATGAAAATAGTTTCTAGGGATGCTCACAGCCTCTCCTCAGTCATTCTGTGACTCCTCAGTCATTCTAGGGGAAAGTGGGGAGGTCTCACATGCTGGGTGGTTGAGAGAAAAGGAATTGGGATTCAACATGTTTTAGCTTCTAACTTACTGTGTGACCTCGGACAAGTTACTTAACCTCTCTGAGCTTCAGGTTCTTCTTCTATAACCAGGGCTGCCTTCGTGGGCATGTGACCTTTGCACACAGACCTGCTCTTAGAAAGGCCTTATGCCTGCTTTAATGACCTGTTTTGGTCTCTTAAAAATTTTAAATCATTTTTAAACAGGGCACAACATTTTCAGTTTGCACTGGACCCCGCTAGTTGTTAGCCAGCATTGGTTATAAGACCCACCTCACTGGGTTACCGTGACACTCACTGAGATAATGTTTCCCACAGGGGTTTCCCTTCCACTGAACTGGTCGTAAAGACAAGTAGGATTTCATCAGGGAGACAAAGGGATGGGAAGGGAGTATCAGGCAGAGGGGCCGGTATGGGTGAAGGCCTGCGAATGTGAAATTCCATTCAGGGAAAGACAAATAAACGCTCTGGGGTCAGGTGGGGGGTGGAGAGTGGAGATGAAACCAAAGAGGCAGGTTGGGGTCAGCGTGAAAGGGCTTCCAGTTCTTTTTAAAGAGTTTGGACCTCAGCTTGGGCGCCTGTGAGCAGGGAGCACTCGGAAGGGGAGGCAGATGGGCACCAACACCTACACCCTTAGCCCACAGCTCAGCTTGGACTGGTTCAGATAATGAGCCAGGCAGCGAATGGCGTGGGCAGGGGCCCTGCTTGGAGGCTGCCAACATGGCCTGTTTGAGCCGTTCGCTGTCGACACAATGGGAAAATGCTGTAGGTGTCAAAGCCAGCAGCGGCACTTGGGGACTTGGGGATTCTGGGCCTGATAAATAATGGAGCAGCCCTTCATGCCTGGGTCTTTTTCAACTCTTTCAATAATTCATGAATTCCACATGGATTGAGAAGTCTCGTAAAACGTCATTTTTTTTTTTCTGAATCCTGAGCCAGTCTGAGCAAATCTGGTCGCTTCATGCATTAGGTCTTAATTAGAAACATACACACACATGGGCACATCCAGCTCTGCAGAATGCGACTTGTGATCAAGTCAAGGAAAATGCCCTATTACATCCCAGACGGGGGCGGGGCAGGTCCAGCCAGGCCCCTGGGAGGAGGTGGAGGTGGGCGCCGGCTGTCCTGGGGGGACAGGGTTGGCGGGGAGGGTCCTCGGGGTGTGCACGCTCCAGAAGAGACTGGATGTTTTGGTGCTCAGCACCCTCCCCGTGGGAGGGGCTTCCTCCTTTGCCTCCTGGAAGCCAGGCTCAGCCACAGGGCCTGCCTCGGCCAATGCAATGTGAGCAGAAGTGACAGGTGTCACTTCCAGGGAAGTTCTAGGAGCCACTGAGTTCTTTGCTGTCTCGTTTTCCCTGTCTTTGGGACTGTGGAGACATGAGACAACAACCTTATGTCCTAGGTAGGACATTACTAGTTTCTATTTCTAGGTGAGGAAATGGAGGCTTTCAGACATAATTTGACCTAGAAATGGCCAGGTTACCGCACTTGCAGGAGAATGGCACGCTTGGGCGCCATCCGCATGGGCATCTCTCAGGCCGTGAGTGGGCACAGCAGCCAGAACCCTCAGGCCAGCTGCCAGGACCCAGGCACACAGGGTCTGGTCTCAGCAGGGGAACCAGGGAGCTGTTTGGGGGCCACACGTTCTGGGTGACTGGGCAAACAGGAAGGCTGGGGTGACAGGGTCACTGGCCCTGAGGTGTCCAGGGCTCAAGCAACACTGCATTTTAAGAAGCAGGGGAATGAGTGTCTTTTTCCTCAAGGGGGCTTGGCTTACCAGGTGATGTTTCTTGTCTAGCTGGCTGGCTGGCAGGGACCTTTAGAAGGCGGACTGCGCTAAATCTCCAGGTGAGATTTCTTCCTCACCTGCCCTTCCTCACCCATGGATTCAGCCTTGTAAGTTCCCTCTTTTCTCCTAGGACTTGACCTTGCTGGTGGGGGAGGGATCAGCAGGAACACTGGCTGTGCCGCACTGGGTCCCCATCACTCAGACCCCAGCACGTCTGTCCATTCCATGCCCCCAGCTGACACCTCTCTTCAGCCCCCTAAGCACCTCATCAGGCCTCCACATCGGGCCTGTTGATAACCGATTCCTCTTCAGTTAGAATGTACCCCCGCCTCTCCGCCCTTGAGGCAACGGAGTGTGAAGCCTGGTGAGTTCCTTGCGAGGTGGCCGGGTGGCCATTCACATTCCCCTTGGCCCTTCTCCAAGCTGCACCCCCTGCTCTGCTAAGACCAGCTGTTCAGCCTCTGCTCTCCTGATTTGTCCCCTTGGCAACTCGGTTGTTGCTTATCCAACAGTTCAAGGGCAGGGGAGCCCGTCAACGGAATGAAGACTCCTCTCCGTTTCTACCGCTGAGAAGTGACTGGGTGTCACAGGAAATGACACTGAAATGAAGGCCCTGATGGGACTGAAGATGGGGTGGCAGGTGCGGTCAGGGGGAAGAAAGAGACCTTGGCAGGAAAGGTCTGAAGGTGGCCCAGGAAGACAGTGCTCACCCAGGTCAGCACCTGGACAGCTCCCTGCGGGGCCTGGGAGCCCCGCTGCCTCGGGGAGGATCTTTGTAAAAGGTGATTGCTGCTACTTAACCCTAGATTCTCCCTGTTCTCTACCGAAGCCTGTACAAGCTGTTGGTCTGGTGATTTACTCCTTTGGGGCTCAGGGAGACACCAGTGTCATTTGATGAGCTAATCCAGGCCACCACCGTACGGATTCCCAGGAGCCAAGGTGTTCAGTTGGCCAAGTGACACATCGCAGCTCCTTGGAGCACTCCCAGGGGTTCGGGCCACCAGAAGAGGGCTGTGGGAGGATCTCTGGAAGCCCAGCACTCTTCTGGAAGGGCCCAAGGGGTGGGGGGCGGCTCATCTCTCCTGAGAAATAGGTGGGGCGGCTGGGCACCTTGCCTCCCGCAGGGCGGCTGCTATGTGACTGTCAGTGGCTGGTGGGGCGGGAGCTCCTACAACAAAGGGCCCAGGACCCTGGCGGGTGGGCTGGGAGTGAGGAGAAAGGGAGGCCAGGAACTGAGACGTGAGCTCCTGTTTCAGAACTAAGAAAGCAGGTGCAGACTCCAGCCATCTCCCCAATTACCTGGCTCCAGAGATGACAAAAAATAGTGTCATAAAGAGCCACTTCCCGGCTTTGAAGTTAATGAAACAAGCTTTGAAGTATAGGAGTGAGGGTGGTTTTTGAAGCAGGCTGCATGTGGGAAGGTGGCCGTGTGTGCCCTGGAGGACACAGATGTGCCCCTCCGGCCAGACAGTCCCCGAGCCCTGGGCCAGCCTGAGAGGCCCCTGGGCTCTGAGAGGGCTGGGTCAGACCCCTCCCTGGGAGGAGACTGGGGCTTGAGAAAAGGAACAGCATTCCTTGGGGCCATCTAGCAGGGGGGTCAAAAGCAATGCAGCTGTTAGGACCCAGTAACCCTTCTTCCACGAATCCACCGTTTTCATCATAGCCTTGTTTATGATGCACCAAAAGGAAAACCCCTACATACCCATATCTACTATTTGGGAATCTCTGAGGATAAGCAGGTTATAGCCACAGGATGGAATATCATACAGTCACTAAAAATCAAGTTTTCAATTTAAGGATACAAAAAATGCTCACCATATATAAATATCACTTATATTTATATATTTATCAGGTAGTTATGTGAAAATTTGGACACAAAAATATTTATATAATAGGATCCACTTTGTGAAAAAATAAAATAATACATATACACATCCCTGAAAAATAACTACAAGGAAATA